TGATAAAAAATTCCCGCCTCACATGCTTCGTGTGTGATGTGTCGTTTGGCATGTTTTTATATACAATGTTTGTGTGTCGTTTATTCCTCTGAGCCTAGGAAGAGTGTGATGGACCTTTAAGCCTTTAGGATTTGAAATGTTTTGTAGTTTACGTTTTTCTTTTCTTATTACAATGTAATATTATATTCTTTCTTTGTTTTATACTTTTTAATTATAAATGACAATAAAATAATTTTAGAAGTTATATTTTAGTAATATTCTTTATTAGTATGTCCCGTCCTTATAATTATGTATACCAAGTTTATTCTTTTAATATGTTCGTAGCGATTTAATAAAATTTATTTTGCCAAAGATTTAAAAAAAATTACTTATCACTTTTACATGGTATTTTATATGGCATCTCACATGGTATTATAAGTATATGCGTATGTGGGTTGGTATGTGTAACTATAACAAAGTTATATATTTGTTACGAAAAGCTTGCATTCACTTTCTCTTATTCATAGTCTTTTTATAATGATCCATGTTGGCGGCATAAGTCCCAACACCAAATGATCAGTTGCTATAGTGATCTTCGAGAATAAAGTTTCATTTTAAGTTGGTTTGATTGATAGTTTCAGTATGACCAATCATCTGCACTCCGACATTAACTGCGCTAAAGTAAACCAAAACGATGATAAATTTTCAGAGTTTTTTGGTTTGAGATATACCAGTATGTTAATCTGGGATGAATGGCTGCCCAACAAGAAATTCGTCAAGAAAATACTTCTTGAAAATGTTTGGTACCATCCTCAAAAGATAAATTTTTGGTTGCTTTTAAAATTCATTATATCTTTTGCAAAAATTAAATTAATGATAGATGCATATTTATTTATTTTATTTTTCATTAATTAACTTCTTACAAACAAGGGCTTTGCTTTGAGTAATTTAAAATTTATTTAGTTACCTCTTGTCTATTGAAATAATTAATTTTAATATGATAACAAATTTGTTCAACATTAATTTTTTAATATTTTTATTGTAATGGTATGAAAGTTATTTTATCGTTTCCTTTTTTTTATATTTTAAAATTGTTTAGTTTCGTTTAAGAATAACTTTTAATCTTAATCTTGGCTGATTTATAATTAATGTTTTAATTTGAAACCAATGCCAATTTCAACTAATGTCCTAATATCTAATTGATCCTATTTAAAATTAAATTACTGGTTGCCATCTATCTTGTGCCAGCCAGTCTAGCTGGTATGTTCTTTGATAAAGTTGGCTCAATTTTATTCTGATATGATATATAGAAAGCAAAAAAAATTATTTAATTTTAATTGATTTATTTTCATTTAATTTCATTTTCTTTATGATATTCATTTGGGAAAGTGAATAAAAAAGGCTAAGTACTTTTTGTTTGCTTAATATTAAAATTGTTACTCTTTTCTTTTTTTTTGCCAAGAATTTTACCCACTCTAAAATAAAAATCTGAACTTTGAATTAGTGATGGGAATTTGATGATTTTTTAACTACATTTTAAATTCATTTATATTTGCTTTTAATTTTTCAAAAACTTTTGACTATCTGAAAATATTCAACCTCTTCTTTTCTTACTTGAATTTTTTTTTCATTTTTTACTTGTCAAGTTTCAGATAGAGTTTCTGTTACATTTTTATTTTACCTTTTTTATATTTTTTGTATTTTTTTAAGTTTTATTATATTGCTATATCCGTTTTTATTTTTATGTTTTTCATTTATTTTAAAATTTATTTATCTTTGAATAACTTTGCTACATAATGATTTTCTGTTTTATGAGTTAACAGATGATTTCAATAGTTAGTAATGTGTTACAATGCTGCAATGTTAAAACAATTCAAGTTTACATTGAACTGAAACTCAGCCAGTTTGATTATTATCAGTTAACATAACATAACATAACAGGGTTTAAAGTGGTTCAGTAGATTAGAGTCTGTGTGAAAACCACTGCAAGATAATTGTCATAATATCCTAACTTTCCGAGCTTGATCTTGAAACTGTTGATTAATTCCGTGGAGACCCTCTCATCCAGGTGTTTATCACTCTACAGCTTAAGAATCTTTGCTTGACGGCACTTTCTATTTTTTTGGAGAGCTTGTATCTGTGGCCTCGTAATCCTATTCTATTCTTCAATTGAAAAAATCTGGTAAACGGTGTTTCTTCTTTCTTGGTAGAATCAATTTGTATGCTTGTATCAGATCTCCTGTGCATCTTCTTGTTTCCAGTGTTGTCAATTCATATTCTTTCAATCTATTTTTGTATTTGTGATTTTTAAGTCCTCTGATCATTTTGTTGCTCTCCGCGCAGCCACAGTATATTGCCTAGATGTTTTTTTGGATGATGACTCCAAGGTTCTTTTCTTATTGCGTTGATCGTAGCTTTTTATTGCCCAATTGATAAGTAAAGCCTTTGTTTTTTCTTCCCATTAGCATAACTGCACATTTATCTACATTAAACGGCATCTGCCAATCCTCAGACCATTTGTATTATCTTTCCATATCTTGTCTTAGTACTTCCGCGTCTTTCTCATTATTGATCTTTGCATACAGCTTCGTGTCGTCAGCAAACTTTGATATTTTTGATACTGTCGATGTCGTTGATATATATAACAAATAGTAGAGGTTCTTGAGAAACTCCACCTGTGACGTTAGCCCAATTTGAATTTTTGTCTATGATCCGTACTTGCTGTCTTCGGCTTTTCAGCCAGTTGGTAATCCATTGAAGGGGACCCTCAGATATCCCACATGCATGCAGCTTCTTGGTAAGTCGTTTGTGTGGCTCTTTATCAAACCCTTTCGCAAAATCCAGATAGATTATATCTGCGGAGTTCTCTCTGTCTACGTTTGCATACACTTTCTCAAAAAATTCTAAAAGATTTGACAAACAGGAACGTTTTTTCATGAATCCGTGTTGGCTGTTTTAGATTATTTTGTTATTCATCAGATGTTTATCAAACGCTTTCGCAAAATCCAAATAGATTATATCTACGGAGTTCTCACCGTCTACGTTTGCATACACTTCCTCAAGAAAATCCAAAAGGAATCCGTGTTGGCTGTTTTCGATTATTTTGTTATTCATTAGAAGTTAACCATGTTCATTTTCACTATTTTTTCTAGAACTTTGCATAGTATGCATGTTAAACTGACTGGTCTATAGTTGCTGGTAACACTCCTGCTTCCTTTGTTGAATAGTGCCGTGACAACGGCATTTCTCCAGTCTCTCGGTATTTTCACCCGTCTTGATGGATTCAGTAAATATTTCAGTTAGAGTGGCTTCTGTTTCGTTTCTCACCTCTTTTAAAAACTTGGGATGCAGTTCTTCTATTCCTGGAGTTGTTGAAGATTTCTGCAGTTTCTTCATTATCTTTGACAGTATTGCCTTGGTTGTCCTTTAGTGGTCCAACCTTCGATTTTCTTTTTTGTTTGCTTCTCATGTAACTGTGAAAGCTTTTACTTTCTTTTTTTATGTTTAGATTCAGCTTTACCTCGTAGTTCTTTATCGCCTTACTATTTATTTTTTTGCCAAATTCCTCTTTTCCGCATATTTTTTCTTGCTTCCTTTAGCTGACTCCCACTCTTTGTTCCCAGTAAGATTTTGTCAATTTTGAGTATAGTCTGTACGTCCTTTTTACCCAAAGACATTTCTAGTCATTTTTTCTGTAGGCTGGTGTTGTTTCTTTCACAATTTCGTTGCATGACACAAACTGCTTCCATTTCTCTTGTGTTCCGAGACCTGCCAATTTGTGTGTTAAGTTCTTTTTTCTGATTTGGCTTGTGACTTTGTCATAATTTGCTATATAGTAGTTGCATCGCTTTTTATATGCAGCCACTTCGATTTCATGTTTCACAACTAAGTTGAATCTTATTACCTGATGATTACTAGAACCAACTCTTTCTCCGACCTACACATCTTCGATCATATTTTCTTCTGTTGAGATGACTAGGTAAAGTACATTCTCCTTTCTCGTTAGTTTTATCACATGATGTGTGAGAAAGTTTTCGTCTATGCATCTCAAGAAAATGTCTTCTGTAACTTTTTTGCCATGTTTCTGGTTCCAATCTATATGATAGTTTTAATCTACCATTATGATGCATGGACCTTTTGTAACTCCGTTGATTGGTTCGTGAAGTCCATTGTCGTTCTCTACTCGAATCAGGAACTCTACAACATAATCCAACCACCATTGCCTCGTTTTTTTTTGACCTCACACCACTAACTTTCTTTGAATCTGTCATCTTTCAGGTCCATTCTTTCCAAAGCCGTTAGGCTATCTTTTATATACAAGAGTATTCTTGTTCTTTTATCATTACTAAACTTTTTGCATTTACGTAGGGAAATTTCAAAATCCTTAAAAATTCATTTGCTCCTTTGATGATTCTCTCTTTGTTTTCTGATTTTCCGGTGTTAGCACTTTTTCATTTTCACTATCCTCATTGCACTAGAGCCCTGCGCTGTTGGAATTTTCAAAAACCGCAACCGCACAAAACCGCAACATTTGAAACCGCAACCGCACAAAACCGCAACATTTAAAATCGCAACCGCACAAAACCGCAGCGCCGAAAACCGCAACCGCACAAAACCGCACCGCAAGAATTGAAAAACAACATTAATGCTTTTATTGACATTATAAATCACAACTATCTACATCCGTGTTCCGATCTTGTTTCAACACACATTTGGCTTCACATTTGTTACAACAGATAAATGATGTAGCCACGTTTTGAAAAAAATTCTGCTAAAATTTTTCCAAATTTCACTTTTAGAATTTTCTTGCGCTTTTATAGAAACGTTTTCGCTTTAAGACAGCATCAATTTAATCAAAAATTCTTTATCAATTACATCTACCTGTGGATCAACTTCAACATTTTTTACCTCGGACATTTTTATAAAATAATCGATAATTAACCACGCTGTAAATAAAATAACTACTTCTTTCAAAGTAAACAGGAAAAAGAAAATGGTTGCTTCAACGGCTTCCAAAGATTTTAAGATTTTTCAAAGACAATATATATAAAAATTATTTCTAGGGATGCACCGAAGTTCGGCCCCGGTCCCGGCCAATATCCGGCTTTTTTCAAATCCGACCGAATCCGGCCCCGGCCGGATTTGGTGGCCGGATTTAGGGCCGGATTTAAGCGTCTATCGACATTTAAAAATGTTATAAATAGAAAAAAAAATTTCATTGAATTCAATTAATTTTATGTCAATAAGTTAAAAGCTAAGCATATATAACACATAATAACAACATCACTAATTGTGAGGTGTGCTGGACAATTTTCTTTGTGCTATAACATGGATTATGCATACATTATAAGCTGATCTTTGTGTAAAATAACTTGTGCACGTGCATACATGACACATAATATTAACATCACTAATTGTGAGATGAGCTGGACAATTTTCTTTATGCTATAACATCGGTTATGCATAAATTAAGCTGATCTTTGTGTACAGAATTTGGCGTATCACACAGCTTATTCATATATTTGAATTAATTAACTATTTGCTTGGTGTTATTTTTTGATGTTCAACATGTAGATAACCGTAAATGTGAGTATTTTTTCTAACTTATGTAAAATGGTAACTAAAATCCGGCCCCAGCCGGTTTTTGAATTTTAAATCCGGCCAAGTTTTTCAGATTTGAAAAACCTGAATTCGGTGCATCCCTAATTATTTCAATGATAATGCAATTTTTAGAATGTTATGGACGAACAAAAATACTTAACAAAATTTTTGCGGTCACCGCGGTTTTGATGAAAAAAAACCGCACATTTCAAAACCGCAACCGCGTAAAACCGCATGATTTAAGCACCGCAATCGCAAAAAACCGCGGTTGCGGTGCGGTTTTTGCGGTTTAAACCGCGACAATCGCAAACCGCGCAGGGCTCTACATTGCACTAAGCTGTCCTCTCACCATGGAAATCTATTCCCCCGACTTTTCTGCGCCTTGTTTTTCTTTGCATTGTTTTATCAAGTTTCTGCATTGCTCCCTTTCGCTCTTTGCCATGTCGTGCGTCACATATTTTTCTGTATTTTTTTTCCGTGTGCCGGAGTTTTGACAAGCTTCTAGCACTATGTTTTTCATTGTTTCTGCCTTGGAACTTGATGAGTAGTGGTTTTTCGTCACTTTGGCTTTGCCTAACCTGAATATTCTCTTAATGTCTTTGTCTGCACAAGGTATTTTTAGCACGTCTTTGATGAGTGTTATTATTTCTTTTCTGTCTTCGCTGTTCTTTTTATCGCCTTCCTTTACAGGTGACTCGACCATTCTATGTATTATTATGTTGTTTTTCAGATCTTTCTCTTTCCTTTTTTCATCGCGGATTTTCATTTTTTCTTTAGTTTTTTTCATTTTATCACTAACTAGCCTTAGTCTTTGTCAATTTTTTTGTTGACAATTGTTGTCCATGCTACTTCATTTGTTTTGCTTGTGTTTTTTAATGTCTCGTCTTCTGTTATTGTTTTAGTTGATTTAATTTCATTTTTAGTTGTCCAATTTCAACTAAATTTTCTTTTTCACTCATTAGTAACTGACTTTCAAGTTTTTCAATTTCAACTAAATGTTCCTTCTCATCAGCGACAAAAGAAACTGCGAAATTTTTTTACACTATTCGTGTAGTTAAATGCAGAGTTGTTTCATTAACTTGTACTTTTGGTCTGATTCAGGAATATTTTATTTTTTCAATTTCTACACTTTTTGTTCACGAATCCCTTCAGTATTTGCAATTGATTTGGGTGGTTTTATTTTAGCGAACTTATTAAAATCTCTTTAACAGCTTCAACGTTACACCTGGCGATCCAACAACTAGTCACATTTCTATTTTCATCTTTAACCATTCGTTACAACTTGTTATTGATTAAATTAATATAAATAGTGGTGTAATGAGCGTTGGAGTGGTGCAATGGTTGAAGGGTTAAGGTGTCTTATCTTGCCATTGGAGTGACTGGTTTCAAATGCAGATATCCTCACCTACGTCTTGCATGTTACTATAATTTTTAGGAAATGACTGAGGGAACAACAACAATGATAATAATTCTTGAGTCATTTTTCAGTCAAACAAGAATTTAAACCTGATTAGTTCTATATTTTGTTTCAAGACAAAAGTGATTGTCATAGCGTTTCTGTTTGAGCTGAGCTAGCTCGTTAAAAATTATATGGCAATTTTTTTTGCCCCAAGAAGAAAATAACGTTATTTTTGTAACGTGATACTACAAAATGGCTGATTCGAGTATGACTACCCCTATATTTGCAACAGATTAATGTGATGATTTATTTTATTATCATAATGGTTAAATCTGATAACGATATGTTGATCTTGTGTTTGGCGGCGCGATGGTGTAATGGCTAAGATGCCTGGCATTTTTGATGCAGTGCTCGGGTTCGAATGCAAAATAAAAGATCACGCCTATCATATGCAAAAGTGTGTGATGCGTTGATTCACGTGCATTTATGCATCGTGTGCTTGTTGTAATAATGATAGTGCCTCAGTCGCTTCCCATGGCGCTATATAAAATGACGTTATTATTATTATTATTGTGTTGTTATAAAATTGGTGCTGGGCATGACATAAAACTGCATCCACGCTGCCTTGCGTGCTTTTGAGCAAAAGGCTAGGCCCACCGCTTATAACTGGTGGTTGTCGTCAGGATGGGTGTCCAGATGTAAAAACTTTTCCCCAAATTACTCTCATGCCATCACAAAGAAAAACAATGGCCCCTAGTCCCCAGCAGGCCTTTAGTGGTCAAGGGGTGCCAAGAATCCCTGGGAAGTATGCTATAGCGGAGGGATGTTGCAGAAAAATTTAGAATGGCCCCTCTATGGTACTTAGACTTGAAACGCTCAATGTTGGATCACTGACTGGCCGCAGCATGGAAATCGCAGAAATGCTCGAGCGTAGAAGGATTGACATCTGCTGCCTTCAGGAAACCCGATGGAAATCGAATGGTGTCTGTCATGTCAACTCAGACAAAAAAAAATATAAACAATTCTGGAATGGTCAAAAGACGGCCAAAAATGGTGTTGAAATTTTTGCCAGAGAACCGCTAGCCCAAGAAGTACTGGATTTTAAAAGAAAAGCAAACAATGATTATTTTTTCTGCATATGCACTACAGACAGGCGAATCAGAAGAGATGAAAAATGACTTGGGCTGCATTCTTTGACACCATCTTAACAATACCAAAATCCGAAACAATCCTGAGAGGAGGCGATCTCAATGGCCACGCTGGAGAGTAAACAGATGGTTTTGACAACGCACATGGCGGTTTAGGCTATGGAAAACGGAATGAAGATGGCAACCGCATCTTTGAGTTTGTTGAAAATCACGGGTTTTGTTAACTGAACACATATTTTAGAAAAAGGTTGGAACATCTCATAACATACAAAAGTGTACCATCAGCCACGCAAATTGATTTCTTCGCTGTCAAGCAACAACACCGAAGGCTATTCAAAAACGTCAAAGTTATACCTGGCGAATCATGTGACGCCCAACATAGACTCCTTGTGGCAGACCTGGTTGTTCAACTGTCAAAACATAAGTCTAAACAAATGCCTCGGAGAATCAAAACGTGGAAATTGAAAAGCGATATTCATCGAGAAAAATTTCAACAGATTATCGCCACACAGTTAGACCACCAATCGCAAGCCAGTATAGATTGGAGTAGATACAAAACCATTTTGATAAACGCTGCAACTACAGTTTGTGGGAAACTGGTACAAAACGTCAGGATGAACGGGACACTCTGTGTTGGAATGACAGTGTACAAAAGTAATAGCTGAAATGAAAGTTGCATACAAGCAATGGCAAAAATCAAAGTATGTTGATGACCATAAAATTTTTCGTGAGAAAAACAACTATGCAAGACGTCAAGTTGCACTGGCTCAGACAGATCAGTGCAAAGAATGGCTCACTAAAAGCAAAGGTGAACAAATGAAATATCTGTATCGTATAGCAAAACAAGCAAAGCGTACGAAAAAAGACATAATTGGTGCCTCGTGTATCAAAAACGACAAAAATGATATGGTTCTTGAATAAGATGAGATCAAGCTACAGTGGAGAGAATACTTCAACCGTCTGTTAAACGAAACAATTCCTATCAATGTTAACTTTGACGCTCCACCCATCGAAGGTCCGATTCCAGACATCACTGTTGAAGAGCTTACAGAAGTTCTGAAAGCTATGAAGGATGGAAAGGCAGCAGGGCTCTCTGGACTCACAAATGACATTATCAAAGCATCTGGTACTGCAGGTATCCAAACGTTACTACAACTTAGCCGTGAAATCTGGAGAAATTGCTCAATACCGACTGAATGGAACTATAGCATGACAGTCCCGCTATACAAAGGCAAAAGTGATCCATTGAATTGTTCATCACATCGGGGTATACGTCTGTTAGAACACTCCCTGAAAATTGTCGAGAAAATCATTGAGAGAAGATTAACGTCGTGCATCACAATCGGAAATTATCAATTTGGTTTCCTAGCCGGGAAATCAACAATTGATGCAATTCACATCCTTCGGCAACTGCAAGAGAAGTACCTCACAAAGCATCAAAAACTATCACACGTTTTTGTAGACCTTGAAAAAGCATTTGATCGAGTTCCCCGTGAAGCAATCAGGTGGAATCTACGTCGACAACTCATTCCAGAATATCTTGTTCGACTTGTGATGGGAATGTATACGAATACTAAGACTCTCGTCAGCACTGCGGTTGGAAACACAGATGCATTTGACATTGGCGTTGGAGTTCACCAAGGCTCGATTCTCAGTCCACTGTTATTTATAACTGTGATGGAAGAAATCACAAAACCGATACGCACTGGTGACATTTGGAATCTAATATATGCTCATGATATCGTTTTAACAGCCACGTCTGAGCAGAATGCAGCACAGATGTTTGAAGATTGGAACACCAGACTGGCCGATCATGGATTCAAAGTCAACATCAGCAAAACCAAAGCAATGAACACTGGTGAACCTATCCAATCCACAGCTATTGGACGATGGCTCTGTTCAGTTTGTAAAGCTGGTGTAGGTAACAATTCAATCAAGTGTCAGTAGTGTAACCAGTGGTGTCACAAACGTTGCTCAAAAATAATTGGTACTTTATCTAAAGTGTCCAATTTTGTTTGTCCTGCTTGCATCAATCCACAACAACAAATTCGAAATAGCAATGTTTTTGAAGCCATTAAGGTAGAGAAAGTCACATCATTTCAATATCTAGGGGATGTTCTGGGTTGTACTGGAACAACTAAAGCTGCCGTTCGAGCTCGCATACGTGCAGCCTGGAATAAATGACATATCCTTGCCTCTATATTGATGCGGCGTGACAACCCACTACCAGTACAATCAAGACTTCATAAATCTGTGATACGTCCGGCGTTGTTATATGGTGCAGAAACATGGCTAATGACAACCAAACTGGAACAACAACTTCAACGAACCGACATGAAAATGCTCCGATGGATGCAACAAATTAGTCTGAAGGACCACATCAAATCTACCGAAATCCTGCGTCGTGTTGGTTTAGATGATATAAAAGACGAATGCCGGCAAAACCGTCTGCGGTGGTTTGGTCATGTCAAAAGTAGTGTAAACAGTGCCATAACTTTTCTTGCAGATGTTGAAGTACCTGGCACACGTCCCAAAGGCCGTCCAAAGAAGTCCTGGACGAACAAGACATGAAAGCTTTAAATTTAAATGAAATGGATACAACTGATCGTCTAATTTGGCGCAAAAAGTTGATGGCAAAGAAAACAACATCCTACCTTGGGGAACCGAGTCTCTGGACGCAAAACTAAGATTGATTGATTGATTGATTGTTGTTATAAAATCAAAAAAATTTATACACTTTCATTCATTCACCATTTATTTATTTATCTTAAATTGCTTGAAACTTTCAGTTTTGCAGATCCCCTGCATTTTGATTCTTTGCAAGCCAAAAAAATCATCCTTGCTCCAGGCAATACAATATATCTTCCTATAATTTTCAGACCAAGGCATGAGAGAGACTACGCAACTTTAGTGCATTTTACTAGTCCTGTATGTTTTTTGATTAATTATAAAACAATGTTTTGAATAATTGAATTTTTGATTAAATTTTCCTGTATTGGTTTCTTAAAAAAAACAGATGAGATGAAAAATTACTTCTGGGCTGCATTCTCTGACACCATCTCAACAAACTAAAATCTGAAACAATCCTGATTGGCGGCGATCTCAATGGCCACGTTGGAGAGTAAACAGATGGTTTTGACAACGCACATGGCGATTTAGGCTATGGAAAACGCAATGAAGATGGCAACCGCATCTTTGAGTTTGTTGAAAATCACGGGTTTTGTTAACTGAACACATATT